GCACAAGAGCGAAGGAGGCTACATAAATGCTAGTATTTCTAAGCCAGACTGCTAAGAAACACTACTACATGGGCATTATTCAGATTTTTGGTGGTGGCTCTCTTTTGCTTTCATTTATTTTTTTCTTTGATTTTCTTTCATTATTTTTCATTTCATAAGAGAACCACCGCCTCTGCACATTGTCAAACACCTGCCCAACTTTTAAGCACTACCTCCAACCCTCACATTACATTTAGCAGAAACAGCAGAGAACATGTAAAAATCACTCTGTGGAACCTTCTAAAAGATGCAAAAGGGTGACTTTTCATTGAAGACCGAAAGAAAGAAAGCACCCGGCTCAAAGGGGCTGACTAGGGGTATGACACACCAGGACAGTCAATTTGGTCGTGGGCTAATCCTATGCCTCCATCATCTTAGCTAATGACAACACGAATGCTTCACATCATGGAAGAGGGAACTATCGCACAAGAAAGAAACGAGCAGGCTCAAATCTCACATGGCTACCTATATGCTCTATCTCTCGTTCTGATTCCCTGAACTAGATGCATAAATGACTGTCAAAAGCAAGTGATCGAACCAAGTAACATTTGGTGGGCAGACAATTGAAAAACTGAACCCCTACACAATTCTACTGCACATCTCAGTCATCACAATAAGTTATCTAAGTCACACTCAAGTTGTCATGTATCAAGTCAAAAGCCATTCAATTCACTAGTCACATCCACAGTGCCAATACGATCAATCATCAAACAAACAGCCGCGCTTCGAGCCCTCAAATCTCAAGATTTCGACAGTGGACTAGGCTCCAAGCACACATATATACGTTCCAATTCATACAAAGAACCCCCCCACACTTAAACGCGGCAATGTCCTCAATGGAGCAGAGGGAAGGGGAACGATGTTACCGTGAAACAGTGGTCAGGAACGTTGACTGGAAGGCGGACCAGTCAAAAGAAGGGGGCACAGAGCTAGAGACAACAAAAACACCCACACTGGGTGATAGAAATCAGAGTACCAAGTCTACAATCCAAGAGAAAACAAAACAAAATGAAATCACAAAACACGGAGTCTCAGTCTGGAACACAAATAAAGCACAAAACCCGCTCTAGAAGGCATCACCGCCATCGCCGGTGGATGGAGGGTACTCATCCTCAAACCCTGGGGACTGCACGAACGGGTAGTGGACCGCGTTCGGGTCCAAGCCCAAGTAGGACATGATGTAGTGCTGCCCCGACATGTGACGACGCCCTCGGTCCCGCTCACGATCAAGGCGGGTGTGGCATTCTGCTGCGTGATCGCCGCCAACTGGTCGGAGATGGACACCACCACTGGAGGAGGTGACCCTGGAGAAGGAGACCGGGGAGCAGGAGAGGGGCTCGCGGGAGCCTAGGCACGGCGGGGAACGCGACGGGGAACTCGGCGCCCACTAGCGGCGCTCGACTCAGCCTGGTCGCCCTCTGCAGGTATAGGTGGCTGAGGAAGGCCCACGATCCAGCGCACACGCCCGAGGCGAGCAACCAAGTGCTGGTGGCGGAGAGTAGTCTCGCCGAGTGGGGTTGGTCCGCGGACCAATGTCATCCCTGTGTAGTCCACCCCGTAGTTGCGGGCCAAAGCGGTGATCACCGGGCCACAAACGAGGCTGCGAGTCGTGCTGATGGCTGCCTTAGTGAACGTCCGGGCAAGCACAGAGCCCAGCTGGATGGTGTCCTCAGAACGACCCATCGCATGCAACAACCAGAGAGTCCGGAGTGTGACCCGGTTGGACGAGCCCTGGCTGGGTGTGTAAGAAGTGCACATCAGGTGGTTGAGGATCCACCACTCCGGACGGAGGAGAGCAGCCCGCGTCTGGCCACGTACTCTTCATCCACACTGTCCGGCAGGCAAATGCTCTGAAAGTACGCCTGGGAAGCGAAGTCCGTGGGATCAGAGAGATCCAAGCGGAGAGGAGGCCCGCCTGCTGCCCGGGAATTGAGACGAAGTGCATTGGCGAACTCCCAGTAACTGAGGGAGTGCTCCACCCCGCCGAGGGTGAACTGAACGTCATCAGCATGGTTGGAGCTCCCCTTCGAGTTGTGGTGGAAGGTGGCATAGAACTCCTAGACCAGCTCCTTTTAGCTCGCTTCGGCGAGGGTGAGAAGACGCCGCCAAGCAGGGGAGCGGACCACGGCCTCCATCTCTGTCCTGCCATGAAGCTCCTCGAACACCTCCCAATCGAGGTGAAAGTGCTCGGCGATGCTGCGGTCACGGAGGTTCCACAGCTTATGGCGCTGGATGATGTTCATCTGGTCGAGATAAACCTCCATGATCCTGCAAAACACAATGAAGGACAAAGTGTACACAAGCAAACGTGGTCAATGTTAGGCCAAACCACACCGGGAGCCCTCATATCGAAAGATATGGACAGTGGACTAGACTCCCGACGACACAAACATACCCATCATACGAGATTTTCACAGCAAAATACACCGGGGACCCTCAAATCGAGCGATTCGGACAGTGGACTAGGCCCCCGGTGAAACAAGCATACCACAACTGTCCTAAATAGCACCAATCGAGGCATCACAGAAATATCACATATCACGCAGACCATTCAACATGCAATCAGCCCAATCATCCCCCAAACCCAAAATATTCCCAAACCATGCATTCCACAATCAAAAGTTCTTCACCTAACTATAGGTATCGATTCTCCATAAATATAGGAAAAGACAAGGAGAACACACCTGGAGACGCAAGAAGAGACCACGAGAGAGGTGAAGAAAGTGGAAAGAAGCACCCAAAGTCGCCGGAAAACACACCGGAGACTCGCCGGAAAACTCACAGCCGGCGACCCAACCTCAGCAAAACCAGCCCAAATCTTTGGGGAATGTGCTCCTCGATGCCAGGAGCGTGGGGGCGCTCGCGGTTTGTGATTTGGAGGTCGGGAGAGGAAGTTATGGCCGGAAAATCGAAGGAGAAGGTGAAAGGGGCGATTTTCCGGCGAGAGGGGGATGAGGAATTTGAAAAAAAAAAACTGATCTGAAGGGGTTTGGGGCGGAAAAATCGATTTTATAGGGGGGGGGGACGAAACACGGGCGGGGCAGAACACGGCCGTGTTCTGCCTGCTCCGCGCCCGTGTTTTCACTGCCGAGGGCGAATTGCTCTTTTAATAAAACACGTGCGGGCTCCTTTCAAAACACGGCCGTGTTTTCGAAGGGCCCGTGCCCGTGCTTTTTATGCCGAGGCTTAAAGGCAAAACACGGGCGGGGCAGGGCAAAACACGGCCGTGTTTTGGCCCCCTGCTGCCCGTGTTTTTACTGCAGAGCCTAAAATGCCTTTTTTTCAATTTTCAATCTCAAACCACCAAGATTCATTCGTGCCCCGGCTCTAAAATTTACCCAATCACACATCAAAAAGAACCGCCCGAGGCACGAAAAACTTTCTAGACTGACTCCAGACAGACTCAAAGACTCAAAAACCGACAAAGATGAAATAAATAAATAAAAACAAAGGTAGAAATGCAAACCGTGGTGGGGTTGTGATGACTCGGTATTTGCACATGTTTCCCCCTTTGTTTCTTGATTGTTTGAGCTTGAATTATAGTGTCTTTGGCCTATTTTACGCTAGGTTGTGTTCCTTTGTCACATTTCAGGTCCTAGTACATAAAGTGAAGCATAGGCGCAAGTTTCAAGTCAATCAGAGATCAATTGACGATTCGGGAGAAGAAACTCGGGTATGACCTGAAGAAGAATGGATTTCTACCTCACTTTATGGACAAAGAATCATGCAAGATTGTCAAGAATAGAAAGAGGACGAGACTACGAGCGTCTGGGATCAAACGGCGACTGATTCGGAGTCCGGACGAGGGAGAAACGAAGCATTAAACAGAGGTTGAGCAAGCAACACGGGCACAACCCACACGGCCGTGTGACCTGGCCATGTGGCCGTGTGGAAATCACCGAGCCTTCACACGGGCAGCGGGGAAAGCCACACGGCCGTGTGGCCTGGCCGTGTGAGTCGGGAATTGCTGTTGGAGCTCGGGAATCAAGCTTGGAGATGGAGATTGAAGATCTAGATCAGATTTCTGCAGTCTCTCTCTTCTCTATGGAGTAACTTCCCTTCACTTAGGTTTTGAGGAACCTTAGTTCCATGAGTTAGGATCTTTCTTGTATGAAGTTTTGGATGCTATATTGTTTGATTATAATCGAATGATGCATGTTTATTGAGTCAATTGAAGTCTGATCAACTTTTCCTGATTCCTGCTGCAATCTGAGATAGATAGAATCTGATTAGGTTGCTAGAGTCTCATCATTCGGTAGTAGGAGATTGGCTATACGAGAGTTAGCCAGTTTACTGCTTTGTACTGGAATCCAATTCCAGTAGTGGAGTTCTGTGCTTATTGCTTCAGCTTTCTATCCCGGTGAAGACTAGTCGTCTGCCGGATAGTTAGACTGAGAGGGCTTGGTCAGCTTAAGAGATTCCAAGCTACTGTCGGATCTTCTGCAGTTTAATCAACAGTAAATCAACCAAAAGGAATTACAACTTGGACCTAATTGAGGAGCTAGGGGGAATCATACCTAAGTGACTTCCCAAACTGTAATTAGTAGTTTTACTTAGTTTAGTTAGTAGAGTAGTTTAGTTAATCAATCCTTAATCTAGTTTGCTAGATAATGAACTGAAGCTGAGTAATAGTAACTCTAGAGACCCGTGGATTCGATATTTATTACTTGTGCCACTATACTGCAGTCCCTTTAATTGGTTACACTTGGCCATTGTTAGGTGTTGTGTTTTAGAGCATCAAGTTTTTGGCGCCGTTGCCGGGGACTTTCTAGAGTATTAGGAAAGGCAGAAGTTTGTTACTTCAGCGTTTTTCTTTTCTTTTCTTTTCCACCTTTGCTTTTCACTTGGGTGTTTTTGTTTTTGTTGGTGCAGATCTGAATCATGGATCCTAATGGCTTTTCCAATCATTGGGGGTATCCACCACCATCCGGGTGGTATTACCCCGCGACTCCCTACAGCAATCAAGGAGGAGAAGACTATGGATTCGGGTTCCAGTACCAACCCCCTTACTATGGAGAACAATCAGACCCCTGGGCATATCAAGAACAACCTCATTACCAAGAAGACTTTCTCCCACAACCAGAAGGGCCATCGGAGCTGGAGTTACCCATGGCGGCCTTCACGGGCCACTCTGAAGAGCCATGCTACACTTCAATGGAGGATCCGAACGAACAATTAAGGCTTCTCGTGGAGCAGTTTGCTCGAGACACTGAGAAATCATGCTCCAAGATGGATCTTCAAATCAAAGCCCTTGCCACTGATACGCCCCTGGGGGGGTGTATGTTATCAAAGTAACGCAGCTAACGACTCAATCGAAGAATCGATTGAGCTCGAATCAAGAACGAAGCGTTCTTAATACGAACTTGGATAAAACGGAACCAACGGACAATTCCACACCTGGGGAAAGCTCGTATGGTATAAAAGGGTAGATGCTCGACCATGATTGAAGTGAATATTCAATCGATACACAAGCTCACAAGCTTGGAATCCACCAAACTCAAACAAGTCGCAACTTGCACAAAACCAAAGGTTTGTTTTTCGATTAATCAAAGTCTCCCATTACAATGTAAATAGAAGAGTATTTAAAGGCAAATAAACCTAATACAAACCTAGATGAACAAGGAAACAAATAAGGTAAAAGTCTACTCTAAAAAGGTTACAAAGTATGTACCCTGAACACGGATTTTGACTTAGCCAAATTCTGCCTTTCTTCTTCCCAACTTTGATAGCTTCTTTGTTAAGTAATTGTGACGTGAATTGTCGGCAATTTGGGATCATATCAGGCCCTCCCTCTTGAAAAAGTGTTGCCCTCAACACTTTAGCCTTTCTTTGCTCAAACCGTTCAGAGAATTGATCCCAAATCGGATCAAAAGAAGGCTTCTCAAACATCATTTTCGACGCAAACATTTCAGTTCCATACTCACCTTCAATCTGTTTCAGAGGGATTGACGGTAGAAGTGTTGTTGGAAATGTTGGCTGGAGTTGTAATAGACCTCTATTGATAACCAATTTTGCCTGAAACTGATCGGAGCAACTCCTAGTTCGTCGGATAGTTACTACGAACTTCAACCCGTTCGGCGAAATTGGGGATTTTAGTTTCAAGGACCCACAGTCTAATTCAACGACTAAACACTCTTCCTGGGCTCGAAACAAACCGCCCTCTTTGTTCAATTTCTCTGGAATTCGATACGAACAAGCTCCAGGTCGTCGAACGCCACCTTTGTACATGTTCTTGCTCGAACAATTTGGGGGTTTTCGATTACAGCTTCTCCAATCCAATTCATCGACTACAACGTCTTCTCCAGGCCTCCAATAGCAATTTTGATCCCTTCTACAACATCGATTCATCACCAGTGTCTGCAATTCCTCGAGTTCTCCATTCCCGCCGTCGCCGAAATTCGAATTTTCGCAACCCAGAAAAGCCAAATAGAAATTGGGGGTTTTAATCCCAGGCATCTTCGAGACGAATTGATGCATTCCACACGTTCCTCGTACATCCTTTGACGGTTCTTCACCATTGGTTTGGCTCGATTTGAGCTGGATGGCGCTACCCACGAGAGGGTTCTGTTCGGCAGTGTTCTTCACAAACAGAGGGACTTTTGCGCAATTTGATTCTTGAGTCTCAAGTGAGATCGTCTCCAATGAAGCACCTTTTGACTTTATGGGGATCGGATTAAGCGTTTTGGCACCGAGGGACGACTTCGAATTGTCACCGGTCGCGCCAGCCAATAGGGCCGTCAGGACGCTCTGTTTTTCCGAAGAAAAAACAGAGTCGGGGAACTCTGCTCTCCTCACTAGCGAGAATTTCGCGTCGTTTTTCAGCTTCGGGACTTCTCCTTGCTCTCTCATCCCTCCGTCAACATCCACGGACGCGTTTAAGGCCGCATCGTGCGCCGGCTTTGCTTCTACAACGTCGGCAGGACTTCCGAAGGAGGAACTCTGTTTCACATCGGAAAAGTAGAGGTCGTTGCTGGCTGTTGTTTCTGGCGTGGGAAATTCCCTCTCGAGCTTTCGAAAGCTCAGGAAATTGAAGCCAATACGTCGTTGAATCCACAATTGAGCCCGAGGCTCCTTCCCCTCGTTTTGATTCTCCTCTATTTGCTTCTGATCAGTGTAAACGTCGTCTGGAGAAAGAGGTTTCAGCTTGATTTTCCTACCTTTGTATCTGAATGTGTAGGAATTCTCCCAACCATTATGGGTAACCCCTCTGTCGAATTGCCAAGGTCGACCCAGTATTAGGTGAACATAATTCATTGACACAACATCACAAATTACCTCATCGTCGTAGCTGCCGAGTTGAAAACGAACCACCGCTTGCTTCGTCACATTAATTGTTCCGTGCTCGTTGATCCAACTGAGTTGGTAAGGCGCTGGATGCCTTTGTGTCATCAATCCAAGCTTTTGAACGGCGTATAGGCTGATGATGTTTGAGCAGCAACCTCCGTTGATCACGAATGAAATTAACTTGCCTTCGACAAAGCATCGGCTGTGAAATAGATTATCACGCTGCTCATCGGATTCTCGATGCTTAAAAACGACTGCTGGCTGCTCCTCTTGGACACGAATTTGCGTCTTCCTTGCCTTTACACTGCTCTCCACCATCTGTTGGTGTAGAATCGAAAACTTCAAACACAAACAGCAGCTGCAAAGTACAAACAGGGGCTGCCCTGTTTTGGAACTCGGTAAAACTGCTTATACGAAACAGCAGGTTCTTCTTCTCCTTTGCCCTTGTGTAGAACCAGGCTCTGATACCACTTGATACGCCCCTGGGGGGGTGTATGTTATCAAAGTCACGCAGCTAACGACTCAATCGAAGAATCGATTGAGCTCGAATCAAGAACGAAGCGTTATTAATACGAACTTGGATAAAACGGAACCATCGGACAATTCCACACCTGGGGAAAGCTCGTATGGTATAAAAGGGTAGATGCTCGACCACGATTGAAGTGAATATTCAATCGATACACAAGCTCACAAGCTTGGAATCCACCAAACTCAAACAAGTCGCAACTTGCACAAAACCAAAGGTTTGTTTTTCGATTAATCAAAGTCTCCCATTACAATGTAAATAGAAGAGTATTTAAAGGAAAATAAACCTAATACAAACCTAGATGAACAAGGAAACAAATAAGGTAAAAGTCTACTCTAAAAAGGTTACAAAATTCGGGTTTAAACTCCTTTTCTTCAAGCGCAAGTAAGCTGCCAGCAAACAGTCAAAAGGCAGCTTTCGTACTAACTTCGCGCCTTTCGTTCGAGGCCTTCCCGAACTCCAATCTTTCATCCGATTCCTTCCCTTGGTAGATAAACATACCTAGTTTCATGTTGTGGAAGCCTTTGGACTTGAATCAGATCCATGCTCCTTGAACTGAGCTCCAAAGTAGACTTCACAAATCAGTTTCCAGACTTAACCATTTTCTGGCAGTTTTCCAGTTTTGAGATAGCAACTTTGAGGCCTTGGAAAACAACCTTAATGACATCATCTGGATCCACCAAGCATACCATTGGAAAGATGGTAACTTTATCTGCAAAACAAACCCTTAAAATTGAATTTCCACCAAGCCAATTGAGAGAACCATGCCTCCAAAGTATGTACCCTGAACACGGATTTTGACTTAGCCAAATTCTGCCTTTCTTCTTCCCAACTTTGATAGCTTCTTTGTTAAGTAATTGTGACGTGAATTGTCGGCAATTTGGGATCATATCAGCCACTTCCGATCCCTCATTTCTCCATGATATGGAGGAGACTGTTCAGCGCTCAGCGAAGCAAACAGAGTGGGTGAAGCAAGTTTGCTCACATCTTGCTCAAGATCACCTTTCTGCTACCACGCTAGAAGAGGTGGAGGATGACAAAGGCTATGGGAGCGTTGAGGAGCATACAGAAGTTATCACAGAGAACTCCCATGATAACCATGATCAGGAAAGTCCTTTGGTTGCAGACCACACCTTTCCTCATTTGTGCTCTAACATGCTGGGCCCGTGCGAGGAGATGCAAGATGATCCCATTGAAGAAATTTCTTGGCGACTTGCTCTCCAATCTGTTCTAGAAGAAGAAGAGCGAGCAAGGATGAGGAAGGAAGTTGTGGATGATGAGGAAGAAAGAAAAGAAGAGGTGGTTCTTGATCTTTTCCCAGGGGAGAGACCACATTTTGAAGAAGGAAGGGGGGTTGTGGAAGCAATTGGCGTCCAGGCTGAGGATGAAGTTGAGGTGGAAGAGGCATGCACCGGCCATGAGTTGCAAGTAATATCCCCACCAAACTTTGAGGAACTGCTTGGCAAGGACCCATTTGCAGTGTCTCTTGGCCAGACCAAGGCCACATCGACATCGGTCCCTCTTGGTGGACGCGATGGTGGTCGGTCGATGCTGTCATATCTGGTTTGGGGCAAGGAGACAAGAGAAGAGAAGAAGAGGTCTCGAGGGTGGAGACTTCATCTGCATCAAGTACATGAGCCTTCATCACCTGCCACACCACATGCTCTTGACTTGAGACTCCACCTCATCGACGAGAACCTCAACTTCAAGGAGGTTCTAGCATGGACCGAAACTTAGGAGCCATCGTCCGGCTCACGACGTGAAAGAAGCGCTTTTTGGGAGGCAACCCAACCAGTCGGTTTGCATTTCTTTCTCTATTTCTCCTCGGTTGAGTCAGTTTTGTTATTTGATTTTAGAGTCAATAACTCAACCTTTGTGAGATTTTGTGTGGTGTTTGTGTTCTGATTACTCTCTCTTCCTGGAATGCACTGCCTGACCCGTACATCATCATTCACCCTTGATCTGGTAACTTCGTTCTACCCTCCTTATCTTTCCTCCATTGAGGACAATGTCGTGGTTAAGTGTGGGGGGGTGTTCGATTATGTATGCGGGTGAACGTTTGGCTGTTTGTGTGCTTGGAGCCTAGTCCACTGTCCAAATTTTTAAATTTGAGGGCTCCAAGTATGTGTTTCCTTGCAAATTGCCTGCTCAGTATGCTTTGAATTGACAGTCTCTATAGTAATGTGCAACCTAGGGAGGTAGTGTAGCACTATGGAGGATGTTGAAGTATAAGATTTTTCCTATCTAGCTCTCTGTTGTGCCAGTTGATTTTGTGAATTAGTGGAGCTAAGACCGTTGAATTCATGTGGTAATGGTGACTCTGTTTGGATTATGTTATGGACTCGTGTATCGAACAGGGTGCTCATATGGAAAATGGGAAGCAGTTGGTCCTCCATGTCAAAATCATTAAATCTTAAACATGGGGTAAGCCCAACGTGTGCGGCACCGTTCATTGCACAAAATCGGGTTTTGGAAGAGATTTTAGTGATCCTTAGTGGGGTACTCCTACAAGGTGAAGCTAAGTTGTCTCTAGTACAAGTAAAACTTCCACCCGTTGAACGGTTTGCCTACTTGAGGATGTGTTTTTAAGGGCACCGATAGAGCTTCCGACCCCCCTTAATTTCATTGACCCTCCACACGAGTTGAGGAAAAGGAGTTAAAAGAAGTACTCTGGCGAGCTCCAGATGTACAGAAATTGCTCTTGCTCGACTAATAAGGGTCGACCGTGCAAAAGACTGTAGTTGGAACCCCACCAAATGAAAGAAAAAATGTAAATGAAAGTGAGAAAAAGGGGTTCCAACGGTGAAATGAAGTGAAAGAGCACCCCGGTACAACGAATCCTTGGTTGTGAATGGTGTGAGTCCCTTTATCCATGAACTGACTGTCTTACTTCTACTTTTTCTTATGATCCTGGCTTGAGTCTAGTACTCGCATTGAGAGAGATAGGGAACGTCTTAGAAGACCAGTTGACCTCGTAAGCTGCTATATGATCTAGGAAATCCTCTACCGAAGATCGGGGTTGTATGTTGCTATAGAGATCTGGAGAGCTGCATTGGTTTGAGTTAGGTTTGCTTGGGGACAAGCAAACAGTTAAGTGTGGGGGGATTTGATGACTCGGTATTTGCACATGTTTTCCCCTTTGTTTCTTGATTGTTTGAGCTTGAATTATCGTGTCTTTGGCCTATTTTACGCTAGGTTGTGTTCCTTTGTCACATTTCAGGTCCTAGCACATAAAGTGAAGCATAGGCGCAAGTTTCAAGTCAATCAGAGATCAATTGACGATTCGGGAGAAGAAACTCGGGTATGACCTGAAGAAGAATGGATTTCTACCTCACTTTATGGACAAAGAATCATGCAAGCTTGTCATGAATAGAAAGAGGACGAGACTAAGAGCGTCTGGGATCAAACGGCGACTGATTCGGAGTCCGGACGAGGGAGAAACGAAGCATTAAACAGAGGTTGAGCAAGCCACACGGGCACAACCCACACGGCCGTGTGACCTGGCCATGTGGCCGTGTGGAAATCACCGAGCCTTCACACGGGCAGCGGGGAAAGCCACACGGCCGTGTGGCCTGGCCGTGTGAGTCGGGAATTGCTGTTTAAAACCCGATTTTCAGCAAAAGGAAAGGGGGAGAGCTGGGTTTTGGATCCCAAACACCCAAGGGACGAACCCTAGAGAGAGAGAGCGACTTGGGAACATTCTTGGAGCTATTTTGGAGGATTTCTTTGCCATTGGAGCTCGGGAATCAAGCTTGGAGATGGAGATTGAAGATCTAGATCAGATTTCTGCAGTCTCTCTCTTCTCTATGGAGTAACTTCCCTTCACTTAGGTTTTGAGGAACCTTAGTTCCATGAGTTAGGATATTTCTTGTATGAAGTTTTGGATGCTATATTGTTTGATTATAATCGAATGATGCATGTTTATTGAGTCAATTGAAGTCTGATCAACTTTTCCTGATTCCTGCTGCAATCTGAGATAGATAGAATCTGATTAGGTTGCTAGAGTCTCATCATTCGGTAGTAGGAGATTGGCTATACGAGAGTTAGCCAGTTTACTGCTTTGTACTGGAATCCAATTCCAGTAGTGGAGTTTTGTACTTATTGCTTCAGCTTTCTATCCCGGTGAAGACTAGTCGTCTGCCGGATAGTTAGACTGAGAGGATTTGGTCAGCTTAAGAGATTCCAAGCTACTGTCGGATCTTCCGCAGTTTAATCAACAGTAAATCAACCAAAAGGAATTACAACTTGGACCTAATTGAGGAGCTAGGGGGAATCATACCTAAGTGAGTTCCCAAATTTTAATTAGTAGTTTTACTTAGTTTAGTTAGTAGAGTAGTTTAGTTAATCAATCCTTAATCTAGTTTGCTAGATAATGAACTGAAGCTGAGTAATAGTAACTCTAGAGACCCGTGGATTCGATATTTATTACTTGTGCCACTATACTGCAGTCCCTTTCATTGGTTACACTTGGCCATTGTTAGGTGTTGTGTTTTAGAGCATCAGGTTGCCTCCCCACAAGCGCTTCTTTACCGTCTTTTAGTTGGACGCCAATTGCGGGACTAAGGGTCCGCGAGCTCCACGGCCAACTCTGCACGTTCGACCTTGTCTCCCAGGTAGAGCTTGAGACGATGGCCATTCACTTTAAACGGCTCAGTTTGGGGGTTGGCAATTTCAATCGTGCCATACGGGAACACCTGTGTGACCGTGTACGGTCCAGACCACCGGGAACGGAGTTTTCCAGGAAAGAGCTTCAGGCGAGAGTTATAAAGGAGAACTCGATCACCAACATGGAACTCTTTCGGACCCCGCAACCGTGCATCGTGCAGGCGCTTAGTGCGCTCCTTGAACAGCTTGGTGTTCTCATAGGCGTGATAACGCCACTCTTCCAGCTCCAACATCTGCATTTTTCGCTCAACACCTGCAACACTAACATCCAAGTTTAGCATCTTAAGGGCCCAAAAGGCCTTGTGCTCTAGCTCCACGGGCAGATGGCATGCCTTTCCATAGACAAGCCGGTACGGTGAGCTACCAATG